TACAACATTTTGTTCCAGATGATGAGAACTTCTCACCTCAATATGACTCAACATAAGATAAGACTTCTTATTCAACTTGTTCCTATTAGCAAGTTAACACATCCTATCTAACATATTGCTGCTATATTTTTTTTACAAAAATTAATGTCAATCCTTAAAACTAAGGAACTTACAATATGAGTGTGTGAGAAAGTGGGATCAGAACTCATTTTATGGATGTGAAAATGATAGTGAAGCTCTCTATTTATAGGCGTGGTATAAATTTGGAAACATTTCAATGAAAACTTAAGTATCATAATCAATTAGGCTAATCGATTATTTGTCCCCAAAAAGGAATGTTTTGATTTGTAGCCATTGCCAATTATTAATGGACTTATTTCAATCGATTTTGAGAATTGAAAAATGAAATATTCAATTATAGCACTAGGGTTATTCGATTATTTACTTGTAAACAGGCTTCCAACTGATCAGGTAGTTTCCTAATCATTTAGCTAGGTCTTAAAAACATTTTTAGGTGGTTTTAACAAAATAATAGAGGCTTCTAAAAGTTTTTAGTATGTGTGTGATTTTTCCTTAGTAATTCTAGAAATATCCTTATCCCATCACAAGACACTAGTCACCCAGGCAGATACGATCGTGCAAGCTTTCACATTTTCTCTCTTTTACCACTCAGAAACTTCAAGTATTAACATCATTATCTTTGACTTTAGAATCATACAAAAACCTTGAATCTTCTATATTGATGATGCTTGATATATGTTCAATTTGATTACCATCATCAAATATTTGAGAGGTCAAACCGCTGACAAACCTTGAAACATAAGTCTTCACTTGAATGTCGTTTGACCAAATTGTTAACTTCAAAGAGATGACTACATATTTAAGAGAATCTTTAGAAGGATATATGGATTCAAGAGGATAGCTTGATAAAAAAAAATTATAATCTTTGATCACTTGATCTATCTTCAATATATAATTACTTCACTAGATATCATTTGATATCAAGTGTTGTCATCATCAAAATCAACAGTTGATTGTGGATTATGGCTCACTCTCTAGGGATTCCATGGTTTTAGAAGGTACAATTTTTGTTGTTAAAAACTGCTTGGCGTATTTTCTTTGGGAGGAACTAGACTCTCCTCCAATAAAACATCCCTCAGTGGTGTTGACCATGATCTCAGAACTTTTATTTTCCATCCTCAAAAGGGAGATGATGGAAAAGAAGGGTTAGTAATGATGAGTGTGGCCCAAGTCACTTTCACCGGCCCCACAGTGGGCTTCAATTTCACTTGCTTAAAGTATAATATGTGACAACCCCTTATTGTGTAAGGCTATCAAAGGTTTTAGGATAGTTGTGGTATTTAGGATAGGCTCACACCAGTATGGTGATGAACTATGTATCTGGTGTTTTGTAATGAATTGTATGTTCCATCTCAACCTTAAGGGTGAGGTATTTATAAGAGATCCCTGTGACTAGACCTTGGGCTCCAATAGAGTGATAACAACTCTCAATAGCGTCGGAAGTGGGTATTCAATTCCCATATTATTCAGAAGAACATGGTATTTCCCCTTTTGACTCCTTCTCATATACTATTGTGGAGCGAAGTACATCACTTCCTAGGTTCTTATGAATGGATAATCCAGGAGACAAGAGACATAATTAGTAAATATGAGCCTATTCCTATAAATGGGCGGCTTGGGAGTCTCTCGTAATAGAGACATGCTACATCACCTATCTTGAGAGAGTTTTTGTGTCCCCTCACATGGAGCCTCTTCCCTTATACTGATACATTTCCTAATCTTAAATTTCATAGGTTGTTCTTACCTGCAAGTTTTGATTAGTTAATGATGCTTGAGAAATAGTAGTTGAACCATCTAATATGTATTTATCACACATTTTGGGACCTTAAGTTGTTATTAGTTCACCATGCAAAATTCTCAACATCTTATGAAATAGCCTAACCATTTAAAATTCTTATGGGAAATAAATTTCTCTGAAATTTGTGAACATACCCCACATCTTGATAAAGGAATATAAATGAGACACTTTCCATACTCTTGAAATTAGAAATATGAAGACTTGAGCATTTATAAGTGGCAGAACCCACACACCTATTATCTTAAGATTTTGGATGAGTATGTGGTGTGTCTCTAAAAAAAAGTGTGTTCCTTCTAAAGAAAATGTCTCAAATATAAAAATGCCCCTCGTGTTGACCTTCCAAATTGTCACAATAAGATATTAGAGCCTAGTTGGTTCATGGGGGAGCGGAAGTAGATCCTAGTGATGTGGGTAACTCACACTTATATAGGAGATTGTTGGAGAGCGGAAGTAGATCCTAGTGATGTGGATAACTCACACTTATAGAAGAGATTGTTGGATTACAAGTGTGCAAGTGTTAAACTCCACGAGCCTTTGCTTTCGAGTGAAGGGTTGATTTTGAGTGAAAGGATCGATTCACTTGTATCAAAAATATCCTCACATGATCGTGGATAGAAGTGTCGCGTTGAAAAGTATCAACGGAGGTACGTGTATATGGAAGAAAGAGCTTTCACTTGAGAGAGAATTTGTGGTATACTCACACTTGATGGAGTGTTGACACATTGATTAAGAACGTGAAGACTTAAACATTTATAAGTGAGAGAACTCACACATCTATTACCTTAAAATTTTCGATGAATATGTAGTGTATCTCTCACAATAGTGTGTTGCTCCTAAAGAAAATATCTCAAATATAAAGAAGTTCTTCGTGTTGACTCCACAAATTACCCCAACAATTATTTTAAGTATATCATCCTTTAATTATAATTTCTTTTGTGATATCAAAATTTTAAAAATCACTTCAATTTGAAGTTTGAATAACTTTTTATAAAAACCTTTTTTAGAATATATCTTATGAATTTTTTTTTGTGATTTTGACAATATTTTAATATTCAATAATTTATATTTATGTTATTTAATGTCAAAATTATTTTTTTAATTTAAAATAATAATTTAAAATATTTTTAATAATTAATAATATTTTTATAAAAATCATTTTAAAAAAATCTAAAATTTGAAAATTAAAACAAACTAGCCCTTAAATTAACATTAAAAATCCATTAACATGATTGGAAAAATCGTCTTTAAAACTATTATAAAACACATGTTTAAAGACATATTTACCATACAAATGATTCTAAATTTTTATAAATTTTTAAACATTGACAATCTATATAATATAGTTTTCTATCCAAGACATTATATGCATAAAATACAAGAAGAGTTAGTAAGCTAAGGAGGATAAGAGAATAATCAACAAAAACAAAAAAACAAAAAGTAATTATGAAACTCAAACTTAAGAAGAAAGATGGCCCAATCAACAGTACCAGCGGGGTCTATTTCCAAAAAAAGCAACATTCTGCTCATAATTTCATATATAACACATAGATTCATTAGATTCAGAAAAAAACAACCAGGAAGCTATAACTTATTCCAAGAATAGCTTCAAGTCTCAAAAGGATTTCAAAAATAACCTTTCTTTTAATATATTTTCTCTACATACTTTACCTTGAAAATAATTATACATTCAATCTCATTTTTTCAATGCTTTCATATTAAGAGTAGTGTTAGCTCAAAACTGTTCATTTTTAGAGAAAGGACATAATTTAAATGAATAGAAAGAAAATGAGCAAAAGAAAGATTTTATCTTTGAATGTGAATTGGGTCACTTTGATTGGTTTTGTTCAGCTATTTAAAGGGGAATCTTTGTAAAAGAACTCCAAACACCTTAGATCACAATATGGTTGGAGTTGTTTATTGTTTAGCAATTTTTAGATAATTCTTTTTTTCTAGTTTTAGATGTTAAAGTTGTCACATCTTAAAGTGTAGTGTGCATATACAGTGTCAACTGTCAGATACATTACAAGACAAATCAAACAAAGTGCCCATTTGCAAAATAAACACATATTCATCATTTACTATATGCAATTAATGCGTTCATGGTTAAATTTCACTATGTGCTAACAATTCTGATATAAAATTTAAGAAAAAATAGTTCAAATACATACTTCATCATTAAGGATGATTTTTTTCTTTCATAAACTGGCATATTTTGTACACAATTGTAGAAAATAATTTTTTGAATTGGGGAGAATTATAATTAAGGGAGGAAAAACTGATCTGATCTGATGGACATATGTCTGTTTTATCTGCATTTTAGTGTGGACAGAAAAAGAATTTAGACCGACAGTGTCTAATATGTCTGTCTCACCTCATCTCATTTTTCTTTCGAGTTTATGTGTGCGTTAGCATTAACATAAAATTTTACATTTTAAAATTTAAACTATGCACTAATCTCCGTACTCACCTCTCTCACCCTCATTTTTTTATAAATAAAATGACTTTTTAAACTCGCACCTTCAACTATATTGGTTTTGTTTAGTCTCATTTTTACACATATTTTTGCAAAACGGATTTAAACCGACAGATAATGTCTGTTTCTCATCCCTAACTACGGTAAAATTCTCTCAAAATATTTAAGAGGGATCAAAATGAACAAGACTTAATAGACAGTATTTAAAATGCATTAACCATAAAAAGTGTGAAGTGTTTTGTAAGAGCAAATAGCTGGAAACATATGGGGAAGAAGCAAACATTAATAACACAAAACATAATCATCATGCAGTAACTGTTGTCCTTTTAAACAAACACATCAACTCTCCACATCTCTCACAATTCTACACTTTCCATCTCTCACATCATTTTTTTAATATAGATTTGTCAACTCTTTATGTTTTCTTGCTGCTCCACCTAATGCTTTTACTACAACGTTATTTTTTCATCCTATAAATATACACTCTCTCTTCCTCCTCTCCATTCTATCTTCCCTCACCTTATTTTTTCACACACACCAAAATTCCAGAAATCTTAGTTTTCCAATGTGAAATACTATATGACAAAAACCCTTGTAGTTTGTAGAAACTAATTAATAAGCTGATTCTTATTAACCTGAATTCACATCATGTCTGATTCTTTCTGTAGTTTTCTCTCAACCACTCCAAATTCCAACCATAATTCTCATGCACCTTCAAAAATCTCTTCCGTAGTTCAACCTTATTGCATTTGTACACATTGCAATCATCTCCTTCCCTTCAATCACCATGCCGGTAAGACCAAGTCTTGTTATTATCACATTATAGTGTAATATTCATAATCATATTCATATTCATATCATTGTTATGTCTTATTAAGACAGTTGAGTTGGTATATGTTCAGGAACATTCGAGTGCAGGGGCGCGAACCAAGGTCCAAGCAATACTATGCAGCCACAGCAAAGCTCAAGGTGGAGTCCAACTCCAGTTCAATTATTAGTCCTTGAAGAATTGTATAGGAAAGGCATGAAAACACCATCAGCTGAACAAATCCAACAAATAGCTTTGCAGCTTCGTCAATTCGGGAAGATCGAAGGAAAAAACGTGTTCTACTGGTTCCAGAATCACAAGGCAAGAGAGAGGCAGAAGCGTCGTCGCCGGGAGATGGAGGAAACAACTGGTTCTTCAACTCAAGATAAAAAAGAGAAAGACAAGTACGTTATGAGCAATTCAGAACCTGCAGGTACAGCTAGATATTATCTTTAGGTCTTTTCAATGTCCTTTTAGTGGTCAAAAGATTCCTATATATAATATATCACTCATGACATTACAAGTTTTTTTTTTTGATTTAGACTCATGTCACTGCAATTTTAAACGGAAAGAGAGAGAAAAACATAAATGGTTTTTATAAGAGCCATAATTTTCACTTCAACTCGGTCATTCATATTGAGTCACAGACACATTTATACTTATAATAACTTTAAAAAATAATAAAATTAAACATAATCACATGTGTCTTTTTTATGTTCGTGTTAGACACTAAGATATGTCAGGATACTAAATATACATTATGCTACAATGATATTTTGAGGTATTTTGATTGAGTACAGGATTGAAAGAGACATGTAGTGGAGTTAAAGAGACAAAGAAGTGGGCAACCACTTCAAACTGCAGTGAACAAGTAGAGGTATGTAATTACTCTTGTCTTTGTTTATGGTACAACTATAACATTTTATTCACCTATGTTAATCAAAGATACTCAAAAGATTTTATAATATAAAAAAACAAGAACTTCAAATTTGTATATTGGAAAAAAGTGTCTTCAAAAGCTTTTTTTAAAACTTTTTGTTGGAGTTGTTTTATGCTACACTTCACAGACTTTCTTCCACTTTTTTGTGAATTCTTTCAATCTCAAAATATGAACTCTCTCAATCACATATGATCATCACACTCTCTCTCTTTCTCTCTATGTCATTCTTTCCATTTATTTCTTTTTACTTTAAATTTTAACTTTATACTATTTGTTGTAATTTAGCAGAATATAGTCGAAAAAGGATCGATACAAGTTTTGAGGAAAAACGTAGCTGCAGAAAGTGAAGAAAAGTGTCAAAATATTGAGATTCCTTATTACTTCACACATTTTACTTCGGCGGCGTATAGAACATGTAGTAATAGTAACACACCTCAAATCTATGATTTATTACCATTTAACAAAGAAAATTTCAACTATTATGAAGAAGAAAATGAAGGTCTTAGGACACTTGATCTTTTTCCAGTTAAGGAGGATGAACAAGATGGAAAATCTATGTTGTGTGTTAATGATTCTATGAACACTGAAGTCACATCTTCTTCCAACCAGTTTTTTGAGTTTCTTCCTTTAAGAAATTGAACTAGCTAGAGAAATATTAATCCTTGTAAATTTTAGAATATTTGAAGTTGAAATTGGATATGTGCTAATGTAAGTGTTGTGCGTTTTGAATGTCAGTCACTATATCACATATGAAAATGTCAACCATGTCCTTTCTTAAGGTCAGAGAATACAAATGAAAAGAAAATAAAGTTTGAGCAAGTAACAACTTTATACAGTGCTTCTAGGACCATATTTGGCATTCTCTTAGTTATGACATAAATACTTGAATCACACAAAGTAGGAAAGATAAAATAAAAAAAGTCATCGTTCATATATTGGGAAGAAGAGAGGATTACATTAAGAATAGGTGTTGGATAATTGTGTATGTTGGTGGATATTATATTGCACCACTAGAATAATTAACTACTACAAAACGCATAAATTAAGGTGGACAAAATTGAAGCGCTCGACTCAAACCGACCGATCTATTATCTTATTTTTGCAAATAGATCAGGTTGGGTCAGGTGTTGGTTGATCAAGTTGTTTGATTTGGGTAATATATGGGTGTTTCGATCATACTCGAATGATTATTTGGAATCCATCAAAAACCAAACCCGACTGAACTCAACTAATGTTCATTTTATTTATTTTTATTACTATAGTGGTGACCCATTATAAAAATGAGATTCATGATATATTTAGGTTATTATCATTTTTATAACCTAATGATAATATTTGTACTCACAAAAATACAAGAAATGCAATATGAAATTGAATGTTATATAGTTTGTGATTTAAAGTATGATAATAAACAAATTTGTATTAAATGATATTGGAAATATTATCATAATAATAATGTTTTCTTCAATAATAAAAGAAAATAATTCTCTTTGGGCTATTCTAAAATTTTGATAGGTTTTTTAAAAAATCTAAAAAATGAATATGTGAATTTTATTTTAAAAATGGCCATTTTATGAGTTTAGATTTAAATATTAAAATCACTTGATTTATCCGTCAAACCGATTTAACTGAATCCATCAAAAACTGAAATTTTATCGGTCAGAATTAAATCTTTAGAATGAAATTGCGGTTTGCGTCGAATTTAAGTTTTGGATCCTATATCAATGCAAACCGACCGATTTTCCACCCCTAACGCAAACAACAATGCCAAAATCACCATGGTTCTTCCAACACCGTGGTGACATCTCTAAACTCAGGCGCAAACATTTTTTTAATTAAAAATTGTTGGGATATAATAAAGGTTGATGACATAACCGTTAGGATACAATCAAGCTTTCATGGGTTCGAATCGGTGCTCCCTCAAATATTTGATTCCTTTAACGTTAAGACGTTGTTGACAAGAAATTTTTGACTAGGGAAGCAAGCCTTTAACTAGAAGGTGTCTTTAGTTAGAAAGACATGTGTCTACCAAAAAGAAAATAGGACGCGTCGACAAGTCAAAGAAGTTCAGGAAATCTGGTTGACGAAGACACCAGTTCTAGAGACAGGCTCAACAGGAGGCGAAGTGTTGATAGGCAATAACAAGTAGCGATGAGAGGAGTTACCAACTCACGAAGCCAGTAAGAACGTGGGGAGGTTTTTTAAAGCAGTTTATAGCAGTTCTCTATTAATCCCAACGTGGGACTAAGTAACTATCGACGGTTACAATGTTAGATTTTCTATTTAAGCAAGTGTTTGTATTTTTTTGCTAGAGCTCACATTTCTTCATATTTAGAGCGATACACTCAAAGTACCCGCATCTAAGAAAGAAACAAGTTCAGGCTTAACAATGTATGAATGCTTCCAAATTTAAATTCATAGCAATTTCCAGTTTTCACATTTAAATTACAAGTCTTGTCACTTATTTTCTTTACTTTGTAATTGTCCTTTACTTTTGCCCTTTTTATCCAACATCAACCAGTTTCAACCCAAAAAACACTCAAAACACTAAGTCTAGGATTATTGTATCTGATCCTGCAAGTAACCTTTAATAAGAGGCTAGCGATTGTTTCACGGAGAAACAAATTGGCACACCTGGTGGGACACGTTATATTTGAGTTTTTCTCATTTCGTGCATGAAACTGAGAAGTGGTAGAAAATGGTAGATCCTAGAACAGAAAACCCGGGAGGGAATACTAGTGAGGTTGTGAGTGTGAGTTCTAGTTCGGTGGTCGTATCTTCTACTGCACCAAACATAGTTACCATAACACAATCAGTAACTACAAGACCACCAATGGTCACAAATTATGGGCAATATGTGCCTAGTTTTGTAAGAGAGACACACGATGGAGTGATCCCAACTTATGGGCAGTATGTGCCTAGTTTTGCAAGAAATACGCATGAATATGGAATGCCAACAGCGATGATGGCAGGACTACATAATAGTAATCCGACATTTGGTGAAAATTTTGCGTCAGCATTTTTCCCATATCATACTTCAGAGCCGTTGGGAAATTAATTAGGTCGTTCGACTGGATTGGTATTTTCCCACCAAATCATGCATACTTCCACCCCAAGTACTATTGTTATCATGAGGCAATAGATGGATGAAAGTAACCATGAGATGGTCAATATGCTTACTCAATAGATGAGTCTCATATTAAGTCCTTTGATCGAGAATTTGGTGTAGAGTTATTGAAACAACCGACCGAACAGTTATCTGATAATTAATCAATAAATTCACCACCGGATGTCTTTTATCCTACTGAAAGGGAAAGGTAAACATTGAGAAAACCTGAAGAGGGAGAAATCACAGTCTTTCGACTGAGAAATCACAGTCTAACAATACATCTTTCTTTTTGAGTTCTTTTGCACAGTTCTCTAGAAACTTCAAGGTTATTCACCACATCATAGACATATCTCTTTTTACCAAGCCTTTCCATTTGATGTTTACCACAAACCCTCCTTTTATCAATTTGCAGTCTTGGAATCCTTCTGACTGCTTCCATAGAGATAGTTCTTTTCATTCTTCTTAGATGAAGATGGCCAAGTTTTTGGTGCCACAGTTTCACCTCTTTTTCTTCTTTGGTAATAGAACACATAGTAGAGTTATTAGTGTTCTCAGGCTGCCACAAGTAACAGTTGTCTTTAGATCTGATTCCTTTCATCACAACTTCTTGTTTTTCATTTAATACAAGACATTCAGATTTTGAGAAGATGACTTTGAATCCTAGATCACACATTGGAACTTCAGGACAGTCCAAATTGCCAACTCCTTTGATTTCACCTTTGGAACCACTTCCAAAGGTCACGTAACTAGTGGTGTGAGGTTTAACATGATTGAGAATGTTCTTGATTCCAGTCATGTGCCTAGAACACCCACTGTCAAAGTACCAGCCTTCCTTTGCAGAGACTCTCAGGGAAGTGTGGGCTATCAGGGCAGTAGCCTTTTTCTTCCATTGAGGAGTATGTGGTACCCTTTTTGACTTAGGTTTAACACTTGGGCTCTGATTAGGGTATCCATACAATCTGAAGCAGAAAGGCTTAATGTGACCATACCTCCCACAATGATGACATCTCCATCTTTGGTACTTTTTCTTCATATATCTCTGTTTCTGATGTTGAGAGTTGTGTTGAGACATCTGCTTTGACATTTGTTTAACAGGCCTGATCTTCTTGTCTGCACCAGATTTCTTAGCTTCCACAAATCCTAGTCCAGATTTGTTTCCCATATTTTGTCCAACCTGAAGGATCTCTTCCAATTTGTCTGTTCCATTTGTCAGCATCTTGACAGATTTGGTCATTTGATTCAGTTGTGAGTTCAGCAATTGAACTTCCCCTTCTAGATGACTTATAGTTTCAAGGTCTGCCCTTTTTTCAGCCTCCAGCTTTATGATGAGTTTTGATTGTTTCCCATTCTGCACACAGACTTCAGCACTTCTGATACACAATTTCTTGTAAGTATCAGCCAGTTCTTCAAATGTCACTTCTTCATCACTAGTGTCACTTTCAGAGGTACAAACACCAGTTAGAGCAGTAACTAGTTTGGCAGATTCTTCTTCAGAATTACTTTCTGAATCATAGTCAGACCAGGTAACAGTCATTCCTTTCTTTTGTTTCTTAAGAAAGGTAGGACATTCAGCTCGAATATGCCCATATCCTTCACAACCATGGCATTGAATTCCTCTGCCTTGATTTCCCTTCTCTTCTGACCTTGGTCTTCTGCTGGAACTGTCAATGTCAGAGGAAATGTTATGAACATTAGACCTTGACTTTGGATCTATTCTTTTGATGAGTTTGTTGAACTGTCTTCCAAGCATGGCTATAGCTTCTGAAATATTTTCTTCTTCATCCTCCTTGTTTTCAACATCAGTGTTGGATACAAGTGCTATGCTCTTGTTCTTCTTGTCACCATTTTCAGTGATCCCCATCTCAAAAGTCTGAAGAGACCCAATAAGTTCATCCACTTTCAACTTGCTGATGTCCTGGGCTTCCTCTATGGCAGTTACCTTCATTGCAAATCTTTTAGGCAAGGATCTGAGAATCTTTCTCACCAATTTTTCTTCTGACATCTTTTCTCCCAGTGCTCCTGAGGTGTTGGAAATCTCCAAGATGTTCATGTGAAACTCGTGAATGGTTTCATCTTCCATCATTTTTAGATTCTCAAACTTGGTAGTCAACATCTGAAGCCTTGACATTTTTACCTTGGAAGTGCCCTCATGGGTAGTTTTGAGAGTGTCCCAAACTTCCTTGGCCAATTCATATTGATGTACTAGTCTGAAAATGTTTCTATCAATTCCATTGAACAAGGCATTTAAAGCTTTGGAATTTCCCAGGGCTAACTCATCTTCTTCTTTACTCCAATCTTCCTCGGGCTTCAGACTGATTGTCCCATCTTTCTCAGTTATGGTGGGATGGTTCCATCCTTTGTCAGCAGCTCTCCAAGCCTTTTTGTCCAGAGATTTTAAGAAGGAAATCATACGAGGTTTCCAGTAGTCATAATTTGTTCCATCCAGAATGGGTGGTCTATTTCCAAAAACTCCTTCTTTGTCCATAGTGCCAGAAAGTGATATCCCTAGATCTCACACAGTAATACAGGC